ACTTACTGAGCACAGGCGGTGTCTTCGACATAACTGGCCAGGTGGAGAATCAGTGATTTGACAACATCTTAGGTGAGAGAGAAAATATTTTAAAATTATTTAAAAATGACCACAATTGAAATGAAATGCAGGAATCAGAGCAATAATTTGGGAAACGGTTACTTACAAGCTATGGTTATCATCAATGAGCATGTGAAGACACCGGCTAATACTCCTCCCATGAACCATCTGAAACAACAGGATTGCTCAGGTTTAGCGTACTATTTACGCATTTCCAACACATGAGATGTTCTTTTCTACTTACCATAGACTTATGATTTCAAGATTTACTATAAAACAGCAGTAATAAAAATAGTATGGCATTGGCAAAAGGATAAACATATAGATCAGTGGAAGAGAGTAGGGAGCCCAGAAACAGACCCATTCAAATATAGTAAAACTGATTTCTAACAGAGGCACAAAAGCAATTCAAAGGAGAAAGGATTGTCTTTTCAACAAATGGTGTTGGAACAATTGGATATTTACATGCAGAAGAACAAACGTCCACATATACATCATTTTGCACAAAATTTAACTCAAAATGGGCCATAGACCAAGATGCAAAAAATAAAAGCATAAAATTTCTAGAAGAAAACATAGGAGAAAATCTATATGATTTTATGTTTGGTGATGAATTTTTAAACACACCACCAAATGCACAATCCAGGAAAGAAAAAAAAAGTTGATTAATTGGACGTCATCAAAATTAAAAAAAAACTTTTGTACTGTGAAAAGATGAGTTATAATATGTGAGAAAATATTTGCAAATCACATGTCTGATAAAGGACTTTTATCTGGAATATGTAAAGAACTCTTAAAACTTGACAATAAGAAAATAAAGCAGCCCACTTAAAAATGAGAAAAAGATCTGAACAGACACCTCATCAAAGAAGATAGAGAAATGGCAAGTAGATATAAGAAAGATGTTTAACATCATTGAACATTAGGGTAATGCAAAAAAAAAAAAAAAAAAAAAAAAAAAAACCCAGTGAGATGCCCCTGCACACCTATCAGAATGGCTAAAACCCAGAAAACTGACAGCACCAAATGCTAGAGAGGATGCAGAGCAATAGGAGCTCTCATTAATTGCTGGTAGGAATGAAAACAGTGCACACACACTGGAAAACAGTTTGGCAGTTTCTTAGAAAGTTAAACGTGCACTTAACACACAACCCAGCAATCACACTCCTTGGTATTTACCCAACTGAGCTGAAACTTTGTGTCTGTACAAAATCCTACATATTACCCAACTGAGCTGAAACTTTCTGTCTGTTCAAAATCCTGCATACGATTCTTTGTAAGAGCTTTATTCAAAATTATTAAAAACTGGAAGCAACCAAGACGTTCTTCAATAAGTTAATGTACAAACAGGCTATAGTACATCCATAAAATTGAATATTATTCAGCAACTAAAAGGAATGAGCTAATTGTTAGAATGGCACATTAATTGTTCCAATTGGTTGGTACCTTTTCTTTTAAAAAAAGATGTGCCTTAGAGGAGGTGAATAGTTTTCTATATTAATCATATACAAGCAAAATACTCCATGGGAAAAATAATTCATTCTGGTAGATTAGGGAGTGAAGGGAAGATAGAATGGTAGGAAAACCTGCAGCTCCACATGAAGCAAAATTCAATGTGAGATTCAAGCTCATATTTCCACCCCCTCCCTCACCTTCCATTTTTTGTTTTTGTTTTTTGGTAACGGTTGCTTATAAATTTTTATTTTAAAGTTCCAGAAAAAAAAAGGAATGAGCTATTAATTAATGCAAAAACATGGGTGAATTGCTATGTGAAAGAAGTTCAACCAAAAAGGCTACATACTGCATGATTACATTAATAAAACATTCAGAAAAAGACAAATCTATAGGGACAGGAAACAGATCAGTGGTTTCTAGAAGTTTGGGAAGGAGGAGTGTTTAACTAGGGAAACACAGAGAATTTTTTTGGACGGTGGAATTAATCTGTATGGTACTGTCGTGATGGATACATGGCATTGTCCATTTGTCAAAACCCATAGAATTTTCTAGCACAAAGAGCAAACCTTCATTTATACAAATTGAAAAAAATCAATCAGGAGGTTGGGAAAATCCCAGGATGGAATGCAAACAAAAGAATCTAACTATATTACAAACGTATCATGTAATTTCACTGAAGACGGGGGGCGGGGGGGGGAGGTGCTTATCTAAACAATTTTGGAAAATAGTTTCGACTGAAACTCTAAGACTAAAGACGAAAGGAACTATACATAAACACTGTACTCTAGTTAGTAAGATTCTTTTTCACAGAGGGTATAGGTTAATGATTCTGAGACTTCTGTACGTGTATACTAGGACTGAACAAATTAGCAAATAGATGGCCAGTGGTGGGAACCTGGTTTCTAGCTGTCAGAGTGGGAGGTTACAGATAAGAAAGGTAAGGGGAAAGGACAGAATAAGCCATGTGGTATTGGATTAAAGTCAGATAAATCAATATGAAATCATGTTTAGCCTAACACACACACACACGCACACATATAGAGACAGATACAGAAATAATTTTTGATGTGTATGTGTACATGGACTGGTATACACACGCTTATTTCCTCATTCTGTGTACTGACAGGGCCGGTAACTATAAGCACACCCAACATCTAGATCTTGGTTTCTCATTTTATTCTGCAATAAAAGACACCAGGGGCTCTTAGAAAAATGGTTGATGAGCCTGAATCATCTTGCCAGAAAATAAGAAATTGTCACCAAAAAAAAAAAAAAAAAAAAAAAAAGGGTAGAAGCATGTCAAAGGGATTCAAGAACCAACCTAAAAGAGCTCCCAATGGCCAAAGCAGGAATAATTTGAGCAAGAAAATAAATAATATAGTATTAGATTATACCCCAAATTATGAAATAAAAATCTGTGAATACAGATGGATATAAATAAATGTTTAAGTAAATAAGGAATGCTGGGAACAAAAGCTAAGAGGAGAGTAAAAGAAGAGGTAGAATTAAGAAGAAAGCTATTCCATGCATGAGGCGAGTACCTAGGAAAGCAGGGTTTATAAAAGACGATGATGTTTAATAGATTAAATGGGCGGGGCAGGTGTTGCAAGTGGTCTGACATTGCTGGACTAAGAAAGGAGGAACGGATGGGATGTAGGAAGATAGGAGAAGCAAATTTGAAGCTTGTTAAGAAGCTGGATTTGAACCTATAGCTTGTGGAGTCTTGTAAAGGTCACCCTGGGCAGCATAAGGAGTTAGATTGGGCAGGGGGTGAAGGGGGGCAAGAACTGGTGGGAGGAAAATTAAATAAGAGGCTACTTGTAGTGGTCCAGACTCAAGATATACCTGAACCAGAGTTACAGCAGTGGGAGGTGGAGGTCCAGTTTACCCACTCCTCTAAATCCCATAGCATATATAGTCTGTCACAATGTATTCTGACCAATCAGACCTAACACCCCATTTTAATAACAAGCACTTTCTTTAGTAACAATAATGACCCTTCCTATTCTGGAATAAATGTTTAAAGACACACATCTAAATAAAAGAGCTACAATAAGTGAGAAATATAGAAAAAAATTTAAAACAAAATGATATAGTAATAGGTATCACTACACTAGAAATTACAATGAAATATTCAGTGCTTGCACCTCCTTATGATGAATAATATCTATCTTAGAAATCCTTTTTTATTGGTACAGATCTCTCTCTCTCTCTCTCTCTCTCTGTCTGACCACCTGTCTCCCTCCAACTTTGTGATTTAAATCTATCTCTATTGCATTTCATAACTGTACATCATTGTGTTGTGTGCACACACCTAATTTGTTTACCTAGTCCTCTATTTATGGATGTTTGGGTTGCTTCCAGTATTTTCTTATTACAAAAATGACGTGCATGGAACCCAAAATAGCCAAAACAATCTTGAAAAAGAAGAACAAAGTTGGAAGACTCACTTCTCAATTTCAAAACTTACTATACCACATGCAAAAGAATAAAGATGGACCCATACCTTACACCATATACAATAATTAACTCAGAATGAAGTAGAAGCCCAAACATAAGAGCTGAAACTACAAAACAATTATAAGAACACATAGGAGAACACCTTTATGACATTGTAATTGATGTTGATTTGTTGAATATGACACCAAAAACACAGCCAACAAAGGAAAAATTAGATAAATTAAACTATATAAAAATTTAAAACTTCCGTGTATCAAAGAACACAATCAAGAGAGTAAAAAAACAATCACAGGATGGGAGAAAATATTTGCAAATTATGTCTCTGATAAGGGGTCAATATCCAGAATATATTAAAAATTCCTATAATTCAAGAACAACAACAAAATAAACAGCATAATTAAAAAATGGACAAAGGACTTGAACAGATATTTCTCCAAAGAAGATGTGCAAATGCCCAATAAGCACATGAAAAGATGGTCAACAACTTAGTCATTAGGGAAATGCAAATCAAAACCACAATGAGGTACCATGCCACATCTGCTAGAATGGCTCTAATCAAAAAGACAGACAGTGGCAAGTATTGTGAATGAGGAAAATTTGGATTCCTCATAAATTCCTTGTGCAAATGCAACATGATGCCATCCTTTTGGAAAGCATTTCAGCATTCCTAAACATGTTAAACATAGTTACCATATGCGCAGAAATTCCATTCCTAGGTATTTACCCCCCCAAATTAAGGCATATGTTCACACGAAAACTTGTACACTGAGGTTCATAGCAGCATTATTTATCATAACCAAAGAATGGAAACAACCCAAATGCCCATGAACTAATGAATGAATACACAAAAATGTGGTGGATTCATACAGTGAAATATTATTCAGCCATAAAAAGAATGAAGTACTAATACATGCTACAATATGGACGGAACTTGAAAATGTTATGCTAAGTGATTAAAGCCAAACACAAAAGACCACATGTTGTGTGATTCCATTTACATGTACTGTACAGAACAGGCAAATCCATAGAGACGGGAAATAGATTTGAGGTTTCCAAGGGCTGGGGAGGTGGGAACGGGGAGTAACTGCTAGTGGGTACAGAGTTTATTCAGTGAAGAAATTGCTATGGACTGAATTAGACAGTAATGGTGGTTGTACAACTGTGAATATACTAAAAACCAGTGGAATGTACACTTTAAAAATAATTTTTAAAATTTTAAAAGTGCAGCAAATAGCATTATACATGTCATTTCA